TGGAATCAAACCTGGGACCTTTCAGTCCGCAGGCCGATGCTCTACCCATTGAGCCAAACCGGTTAGGGCGTTATGATGTTTTTTGATATTACTTCAGATTCAGGCAACAACAAAAGTGTGATTATTCATTTTTTATAATGACTATTAGCACCCTACATTTAAATAATGTGTTAAAAGTGTGTATGATTTGCAAAGCCCATATACTAGTATTTCGCTTGATCTTCGCATCAACTCTGTGAGGGAGGTAGGGGAGAGAGGACTTACTATCCTCATTTCATAGAGGGGCAAATGGCAGCTGAGCAAAGTTAAGCAGCTTACCCAATGTCACAGAACCAAATTATGACTAAACACCAGTAATGATGGTAACTAGTACTATTTTTGTGTACAATTGATGTGCAAAATAGGTGGCACAAAAATTAACCTTTTAAAATCTAATATTTACATCTTATAAAGTTTACATAGTTTTATATAAACTTTATAATTTCCCTCTACTTTTGCCAGCAATATTATTTTCAATAAATGATAATGATGGATGTTTGCTTTTAAAATACATTAAAGTTTTAAAAAGAGTACATTAAAGGAAAGTTAAGTAAATTATAATGCAAGGGGCACACAAATGAAGCAAAATTCATTAAGGTAGATTTTGAGGAATTTGGAAACTCTACACACTGTGGAAACAGAATAATATAAATCCCATTTCTGAGAAGGAAAATAGGAAATCAGAACTGAGTTTCCCTTTGAGAAAAATGTCAGCTTTAATGAAAAGGAACCTAGGAAATAATCATTTGGACTTTTCCTTTACTGCAAGACAGGGGAGTGATTCTCTCTGCCTCAGGACACATACTAAACCCTCTATGTTAACAGTGCCACAACTGGACTAGTTGAGCTAAGGTCTAAGGTGCTGATTCCACCCAGCGGCATAGCTCAGTGATTGAGCATCAACCTGTGAACCAGGAGGTCATCATTCAATTCCCAGTCAGAGCACATGCCTGGGTTGTGGACTCAATACCCAGTGTAGAGTGTGCAGGAGGCAGCTAATTAATGATTCTCTCTTATCACTGATGTTTCTCTCTCTCTCTCTCTCTCTCTCTCTCTCTCTCTCTCTCTCTCTCTCTCTCTCTCCTGTTCCCTTTCTCTCTTAAATCAAGAAAAAGATTTTTTTAAAGGTGCCGATTCCAACTGCCCTACTGTTTTTCTTGATGTTTCATTATCCTTGTAACTTCACTGACAATACATTGAGCAGAGCTATGAGCAGAGTTTGTCATTACCTCTTTTAGAATTTCTATGCTAGCCCCTGTTTGGGTTGACCTAAGATTGCAAAACATATTGTAGGCAATTATATTGTCATAAAATAGGGCTAGTGAAGGAGCTAGTGAAGGATTTCAGTTATAACAATAATCTTGAAGCACATTATGAACCCCAAGCAGGGGTCTCTTTTGTCTTTTTTGATGAAATGCTCAAGAAGATGCCACAAAAGGTCATTGCTTACGAAACAAGTAGTCCAACAGCAAGATTTAAAAAAATGCTCTGAGCTTCTGTAGTGACAGCACAATCCTGCAACAAATAATTAGGATGATCTCCCTGTCACTCCCTCCAGCCACTATCAACAGTCACTCTAAAGCAGAGGTTCTTGCCATGTGGTCCCAGGACAGGCAGCAGCAGCAGTTGGGAACTTGTTAGGAATGCAAATTCTTGCTCCTCACCCCAGACCTACCTCATCATAAGCTCTGAGGGTGGAGCCCAGCAGACTTTTAACAAGCTTTTCAGGGGATTGGGTGTGTTGAAATTTGAGAATCGCTGCTCTAATAAAGCAATGGTTATCACAGTGAGGTCTAAGACTAACATGTGCATTGGAGAAGTAACTTTTCAGTTCTCCAAGTCTCATTTGCCTCATCTGCAGAAAGGATACAGTAATATGCAACCTGCACAGTTTTTGCAAAGACTAAATGAGACAGGAAAGAGCAGCTGGCAGATTTAGAGTAAGTTGAACTTCCCTTTCCTTTCTCTAGAAAAGCAGGGTCCTTTTCTGCTTGGGCCTTTAATATTAGGTCACGTCTGTTCTCTTCATCACTACCTGCACTTCCAGTGCACCTTATGGATTTACCTGGGCTGTTCATTCAAAATACAGATGCTGGGGCCTCAGCCCAGATTTAGGGGTGGAGAGAGAGGGCAGGAAATCCACTTCTTTAACAAAATTACCAGGTGATTCCTTGCACACTGAAGACTGGGAACAACTGGTTTAGCTGCTCTGAACTACTGCCCAAAGCCACTTCTTGCCTTTCTCAAAAGCAGTAACCAAAAAAGCGTACTAATTTGGCCCACTCTCCTCCTCCCTTCACTCTGTCCAAGCTACCGTAAGTCCTCACTTATCATCAATAGGTACTGCGACTTTAAGTGAAACGATGTACAATGAAACCGATTTTATCATAGGCTAATAGATATAAACAAGAGTTAGGTTCCTATGGCACCTCATCAATGTTATAACAAAACAACATGGAGCAAAACAACGTTATCTGAGAACCTGCTGTACTCTTAAAGAAGAGGCAGACTGTCATGGTTGAGAGATCAAGCTTGAACACAAAAAGGTTTGAGATCAAACCACAACTTCACTATTTACCAAACTGTGGTCCCTCAGCATCAGCATCACCTGGGAACTTGTTAGCCAGCCAAGTTCTTAGGCCACACCCCAGGTGGACTGAATCAGAAACGCTGGGGGTAAAGCCCAGACATCTGTGTTTTACCAAACCCTCCAGGTGATGCTGATGCAAACTCAAGTGTGAGAAGACTGCCACTGACTCCCTGAATAACCCTGTGCAGATTCACAGCTTTCTAAAACCATCATTTCCTCATCTGTGAAATACTAAAAGTACTAACCACATAAAGTTGTGACAATGACATGACACAATACAGATAAAGAACTTAATAGTAAACAATAAATATCTATTGTTATTATTATGAAGAAAACTGTCCTTTATCCCAGGGATTCTATTCAACTTGGGATGTTTGTTTCTGAGCCATCATACATGGCTCAAAGCTTAACTGCTAACTAGCCTGATTTCCGCTCCATCCCAACCAAATGGAATGCTATTCATTTACTGCTACACGGCTCTCTACCTCCATGTTTTCACTATTCCTGTTCCACTTTCCTAGAATGCCCTTCCATTCTCTGCCCACATTGTCCAAATCTTACTTCTCCCAACAAGATCAGCTGAGGTGGGCTCCCAGGTCTTGCCTGACTGCTCCAGGCCAAATAAATCCGCCTTTCTTTTAAATATATATATTTTATTGATTTCAGAGAGGAAGGGAGAGGGAGATAGAAATATCAATGAGAGAGAATCATTGATGGGCTGCCTCGTGCATGCCCCCTGCTGGGGATTGAGCTCAAAACCCGGGAATCAACCATAACCTCCTGGTTCATAGATTGACACCCAACCACTGAGAAACACTAGCCAGGCTAATCTGCCTTTCTTAACACTGTCCATTTTCATCTGTGTTGCAGGATTTAACTCCTAAGCAATCAATTTTCAATCTTTTTCATCTCATGGCACACATAAACTAATTACTATAATTCTGCAGCACACCAAAAAATATATTGTTTGCCAATCTGACAAAAAAAATGGGTATAATTTTGATTCATTCATACTAGTTATTGTTGTGTTGCCTGTTGTCATTTTTTAATTTGACAATCTAAGGGGAAAGAGGTCAGTGCCTCTGTCTCAATAGTCAAGTACTACACATTTTAAAAATTCTTGTGGCACACCAGTGTGCCACGACATGCTGGTTGAAAATTCCTGCCCTAAACACATGCATGCATGCTACTGGTGGGTTTTATTTCTGGTTGTCTTGTCCCTTTATAATGAAGCTCTTAGGCGCTAGCCAGTTTGGCTCAGTGGATAGAGTGTCAGCCTGCGGACCGAAGGGTCCTGGGTTCAATTCTGGTCAAGGGAACATACCTTGGTTGCAGGCTCCTCCCTGGCCAGGGCCCTGGTTGGGGCTTGTAAGGGAGGCAACCAATCAATATGTTTCTCTCACGTAGATGTTTCTCTCTCTTTCCCCTCTCTTCCAATCTCCACTCCCCCAAAAAAAACCAATGGAAAAATATCCTTGGGTGAGGATTAACACAAATATCTATATATATAAAAGCCTAAGTGACCGTTAAGACCGGTCGACTGAACAACTGGTCACTATGACGTGCACTGACCACCAGGGGGCAGACACTCAATGCAGAAGCTGCCCCCTGGTGGTCAGTGCGCTCCCACAGCCAACTTCCCACAGCCTGCCAACCTCCCACAGTTCCTCCCCACCTGGCTGGGCAGCCTTGATTGGGACTGGGCGAAATGACCCCGATCAGCCCCGATCACCAGCCAGGCCGAGGGACACCCCCCTACCCCCCACGTGCACGAATTCATGCACCAGGCCTCCAGTATATAATGAAGTTCTTAGGAACTAGAGACAGTACCTTATAGTTCTTTTTCAATCTCTTCCTTATGCAGCTCTGGTATATACTAAAGGAGTGAACAAAGTCCTAGAGCAGTTTAAGGCACAGGCTCTTTCATTTAAGGCACACTTGGAGAAACTTTTTTAAAACGCGGACTTTAAAGAATGGTAATAATTACAGTAGCTTAGGTTTGTTTAAACGTCACAATTTAAAAAATGCTTTGGTATTTTTAACCGAAACTAGTTGTCACAAAAACCTTGGGAAGTGGGGATCATTGTCCCTGTTCACACATGAGGAAACCATTCAGATCATTCTTGTGACTAGCCCAAGGCTGTAGGACTAGTAAATGGTAGAGCTGGGGCTCACACCACATCTCACTGTATTTTTTCCCTTGGCTACTTTGGTTTGCCGAGTTTGTTACTGGTGCTGTTATCCCTGTGCTGTGCCACAACCTCTAAATTCAACTCTCTGAAAGCGAGTGCTGCTCAAATAATGACGGGCCTTTCTGCTCCTTTGGACGTCAAGACAGGGCCCATTGGGAGAAGAAGAAGTACAGCCTCACCTGGTGTTCCTAGGCGGGCCTGAGCAATGGTCAGTTTTTCATGGGGCGCTTGGCACTGGCAGCTGACTTCGTCTGCAAATGGGGCAGGAGCAGTCAGAGTCTAGAAGGGAAAAAGAGAAAGGGAATAGAGTCTAATAAACTTTCCTTGGGCACTAACTTCCTCTGAAGTTTTATTTATGTTGGCTTCACAGGTATGATCAAGAAGTAGAATATTATCAGTGGAGTCTTTCAGAGAAATATGGTACTATTAGAAATAAAAACGGGGACATTGTCACTGAAACATTATTTTTTTTTTTACTGCTGCCTCAGAAATAATAACTCTTCAGTCTCTGCCATATGCCAGGTACCAGATGAGGTACTCTGCATATGCTAATTCCTCCAGGCCTCACAACAAACAGCCTGTGATGGCTAGATCCCTTCTATCCTTCTACAGCAAAGGAAAACACCATCTCCAGTCACAGAAAAGGAAACTGAGGCTCAGCAGCTTTAAGAAATATGCTAAGTCATGCCCTTGGAAAGTCACAGTGTTCAGCTTTGAACCTTTGAACCAGCAAGGGCAGGCTTCAAGCATTAAGACTTACCCACACCCTGGGATACTCAGCTGGGAGGAATGCCATACTCAGGAGTGTGGCAGACATCTGTATTTCACACACACCAGCCTGGCCAATCACGAACTCTGACGTCTCTTCAATGCAAAAGCCAAAGACGTTATCTGTTCCCTGGGAGGGCCTGAAAGCACAGCATTTCTGGCGGGCTGCAGATAAATTGCTCCTGTGGTAGCTCCAACGGCCACCAACGGCTGGAGGCCCCGCCCCAGGCAGCTGGGGCTAAGGCTCTGGGGAGAGCTGTGAGAGAGATGTAGTCACTTGGATGCCTGCCCAGGAAGTGGCTCTGCATTTTTTAGTCAGCTTCTTAAAATGAAAACCTCACTCTCTCCAGACAGGGGAAGACAAAGCCAGGGGTGTTTTTGTAAACAGGGCAAATGCAATCCAGAGTCGTCCATTTGCAGTCTCTGAGCCATGTCCTTATCATGGTCATCACTACACCTGCTTTGCTATTTTTAAAGCCGAAGTCACTGTAAATATTACTCGTGTTGTTGCAGAGATTGTTTCTTAGAGATAGACACAGGTGTTCCTCCACCTGATAAGACTCAATTGAATAATGATCCATACATTTGAAGAGTGACTGTGACCCACTTTTGCCATTCATTTATTTATTCACTCGTTCATTCATTTATTCACATGCTCATTCAAATATATGTCAAGCACTATCTTAGAACTGGGGATACAAATAGGGATGAGACCGGTCCCCGTCCTGGGGGAGTCCCGCTTCTCCGTACTGCCAAGAACCCATCCTGCCCCGTTCCCACCCTTCCTCCCCATTGTAGTACCTTCCGCCCTGGAAACTGGAGTCCTGCCCCAGAGTTGCTTGGAGACCTCCCAATTGCCTGAGACACTTAACCCCCAGCATCCCGTCCAGGGCTCTGAAAGCAGACCAAGACTTGGGACATGGACTCAGGAAACTTTAGTTCATTACTAATTCTTTTTCAGAAACATTAAGGTGACCACGTGGGCCGCGGCGGGCCAGGGCAGCATTTGTAGTATGCCAAAGGGGTACAGTGACCAGAGCAGAGGCTCCATAGCCACAAATCTGAGGTTGAAATCCCCTTTCCAGCACTTACAGGCTGTGTATTCTCATTTGGCTCGCCTGGTTGAAAGAAACCGACACCCACTAAAGTTAGCTCAAGAGATGAGGGATTCTTTGAGGGCTACCCTGGCATGGAAACGGTGCAGGGAGGATAGGGGCAGCACCTGGTCCCAGAGAGCTAGCTGTGCACCAACCTGGCGTGTGATCTTTTCTGTCCCACACTCATTCACCCTACATCCTTCCATGATGTTAAAGTCTCTGCTTGCCTTTGACTCCCCGATAAACTTCGGTTTGAATGGGGCCCATCATGGCCTCCGCAACCTCCCTTCCCAACACTCATTCAGCAGCTTCTGATTGAACCTTTCAGCCCCAGCTCCTGCTCCTACCAACTTACTGCTTCTTTCCATGTTTCCCAATTCACATTCCTAAGGGAGAATCAGAGTGGCCAAGTTCATGAATTCAGACCAGGCTACAACCAGAATTAGCCTGCAATGAATCAGGTGCCCATCATCTGTGGCTGGTGAGGGGAGGAGGAGGGTGAGGGGGGTCATGGGTTGCCTGTCATTGCCCCTTTAGCAGGCGCTGCTGTTGGGGCCAGAAATGTATTTGACCTTGTGTGCTCTTAAAAGGGAGTTCGTTTACTTAGTTGAATCTCAATTTCACCTATAAAATGGACACCAATCTTGCAGGTTGATGCAGAAAACAGAGATAAATTATGTCAAGTACCTGGTACTCAATAAATTGTGGCAATTATTACTGCTATTAGTATTCATTCGTATACATAATAATTTATAATACTTTTTTTTAATTTTTTTTTAAATATATTTTTTTGATTTTTTACAGAGAGGAAAGGAGAAGGATAGAGAGTTGGAAAAATCAATGAGAGAGAAACATTGATCAGCTGCCTCCTGCACT